TCATGTCGTCGACGTATGCCTCCATCGTCTGGCCGAGGACTGCTCTGAAGATCTTGGCCACCATCCTAGTATAGGTGGCGCCGGAGTTTCTGAGTCCGAAGGCCATGACGAGGTAACAAAAGATTCCTTCTGGGGTCATGAATGTCGTCTTCTATGCGTCATCTTCATGCATGGAGATTTGGTGGTACCCTCTGAAAGCGTCAAGGAACGACATCAACTCGCACCTCACCGTCTCGTCCACCAGCTGATCAATGTTGGGGAGAGGGAACGGGTCAATGGGGCACGCCTTGTTCAGGTCAGTGTAATCAACACACATTCTGAATGTTGGCGGTTTTTGGGCGAGGACGACGTTGGCCAGCCACGTCGGGTACTTCACCTCGTTGATGTGGTTGATTGAGAGGAGCATGGCGACCTCCCCTTTGACGAAGTCCCGCCTGTCGGCGGATAAGTAGCGCCGCTTCTGCTTGACAGGTGCGGAGGCCGGATCGACGGTCAGCCGGTGACTGATCACCTGGCGGCTGATGCCTGGCATATCGTCCGGGCCCCACGCGAAGATAACGGCATACGACCGTAGGACGAGGAGGATGGCATTCCGCTGGTCCTGCGGGAGTTGCTTCCCGATTCTGAGAACCCGCTCCGGCCGGGAGGTATCCAGAGGGACTTCCTCGACCTCCTTGGCCGGTTCAGCGTGCGGCCTCTCCTCGTCCTTGGCAACGGCTGCCGTGATGGTGTCTATCCTCTGTCCTTCCGTTTCGGCCGGCCTCGTTAGCTTGAGGTAGCATGCTCTGGCTATCCTCTGGTTTCCTCTGGCGCAGCCGATGCCGCCATTGGTGGGGAACTTCAGACATAAGTGCTTCATGGAAATGATGGCCTCCAAGTCCTCCAGTGCTGGCCGCCCTAAGATCAGGTTGTGGGCGCACTGGAGGTTGACCACCATGAACTCCATGTCAATTTTGGCGCGGTGGGGGCCGTCGCCGACCTCCACGGGGAGGACTATCGTGCCCTCGGCGTCGATAGAGTCCCCGGTGAAGCCGGACATCGGTGTCTTGATCGGCTTCAGCAGTGCTCTGTCTAGCTTCAGCTGCCTGAAGGTATCCAGGTACATCACGTTGACGGAGCTCCCCGTATCGATGTAAGTGCGGTGGATGATGGTGTCACCGATCTCACACCGGACGACGAGGGCATCCCTATGTGATTCCGTACCCGGTGGCAGATCCTTGTCGGTGAAGGTGATCGCCTCCGTTCGCTGCTTCTTCGGCTGGGGGGGAACGTGGGACACCTCCCCTATGTAGAGGGATTGGGCCCATTTCTTTCTCTGGGTGACGGAGTCCCCCCCCAGTATTCCCGCCCACAATGAGGTGAATGTGATTCTTCTTTGGCGGGGGCTCTTCGAAGTCCTCGTCGTCGCCGAGCCTGCCAATCTCCCGCTTCTTCGTAGAGGGTCCGCCCCCTGGTTTTCCGGTGTTTACCCATGTATTTTTGCGTGGGCCACCTTTAACAAACTGGGAGAGTTCTCCCTGACGAATAAGACGCTCGATGGCCTTCTTCAGCGTGATGCAGTCGTCGGTGTTGTGCGAGGAGTTCTTGTGGAACCGGCAGTATGTGCCGCCCTGCTGGATGGCAAGGACCTCCTCGGCCGGCCGAGGAGCCTGCTCGATGAGGCCGTGCTTCTCGGCATAGTCGAGGATGGTGCCGACCGGGTGAGTGAGGGCAACTCCCGGCCGTTCCAACCTCGGCCGCCAGTGGCGGTCTTTCTTACTTTGTCCACCAGAGCCGTGTCGGCCCTGGGTACCCTGGCCGGCCGGGGATGGACCTGGGGCCGGCGAAGGATTTGTGTTCTTGGAGGGATGGCTTCCCTCTTTCTTGTGGTTGTGGAGCTCGTCGTCGTACAAGCTTCCGCGCTGGAGCGCCTTTGCGTACGACCTCGGAGGGTCGGTAATGAGGCTCCTGGCGTACGGGGAACTGCGGAGGGCTCCTTGGTACAGGACGAGGAGGGTGCGCTCATCGGCCCCCTCGACTTCTTCGAGCTCCCTCGTCCACCGATCAATGAACGACCGGAGGGACTCATCATGTTGCTGCTTGACGGAGAGGAGGTGGGTGAAATACTTCTTCGCACGCTTCCTCCCGGCAAAGTGGGTGAGGAAGCGTTGGGCAAGGTCTTGCCATGAGTCAATGCTCCCTTCGAGGAGCGCGTTGAACCACTCGTACGCTGGCCCTCAAGAGTAGAGAGGAACCAACGGCAGAGGTATTCGTCTGACGCGTTCACCATCAGCATGTTGTTCTGATAACGGCTGAAGTGTTCCTGGGGGTCTGATCGGCGATCGTAAGACTTGATGGCGTTCCCCCTGTACTTTTCTGGGATGGGGTCCGAGAGCACCCTGTTGGTGAAAGGGGTCCTGGTCCTGACCTGGATGATGGGGTCACCTCGCCCTTCGGCCAACTCCCTCTCTAGGGCGCTGACCTTGTTCATGAGAGCGTTGAGGCCGGGGTCGTTGGAGGCGCCAGCCGTGGGGGTGTTGGCCGACTGCCTGGCCTCCATCTGAGCCAGCCTCCTTTCCAGCTGGGCAATGACCTCGTCCCGGGGGTCCCTGGCGGCCGCAGCGGCACCCTGCTGGTTCCTCATGCGCTCGTCGTGGGCCGCATTGATCTGGTGACGCACGTCGTCCTCGTGCAGCTTCCCCTTGCCCTTGTCCGGGCGGGGCTGGTCCGCTGTCTGGGACACAGACCCCAAGCTTTCCCTTGGCGAGCCAGGCCGACGCTCACCAATCCGCCCTGCCATCCTCTCCGAAACCGGACGACGGCGCGTGTCACCCAGCCTATTGAAGGCAGAGGTATTTCCACACGCTGGGGTCTGCCCAGGCCGAAGAGGGGAAGCGGGGTGGGAGTGGGACGACGTCGTGTCCTGGGCCATCACCCCCTCATCGTTGCCTATCTGAACGGCCAACGGTTGGGGCTGAGGAGGTGGAGTGACGTTCCCCCCGGTCCTTGGCAAGAGTGCACTGAGGACGATGGGGTTCTGGGCCAGGCTGGCGATGATGACCGACAGCGCGGCCTGGACCTGTGGATCCACAGACGGAGAGGCCGCGACCATAGGCTGGGCCGGGGCGTGGTCCGTCTTCTCAGCTCGTTTCTTGTCCAAGCCGATGCGGGCATCAGGGGCCCCGCCGTTGAGCTGGTTGCGGAGGTCCGTCGTGAGGTTGATGGCCTCCTGGAAGACGTCCCCTCCGCCGACCTGGTCGGCCGTAGCATCCTCCTCGTGCTCCCTGGCCTCCTGGTCCTCAGGGATGGCCTTGCTGACGAGGTTGCGGTTTGATTTAGTTCTTCCCATGATCAGTGGTTAGTTGTGCTTGGTAGCGACGAAGGATGCTAACTTGATTGTTCTAGCTCTCAACGAGAGCACCAAATGATAGAGTATATCTAGAGAGAAGTGAGAGCTAGAGAGAGAAGTGCAATAATATGCTTCAATAGAATGATTTTGTCACCCTGATAACTACCTCCAGAGGAAGTATTTATAGGGAAAATACGGGCTGGGCTCCCAAGCCTTGAGCTTGGGAGGCCCATTTACAACTGGACCGCTACTGGGCCGAATACAAAGTGATAAGAATGATTAAGTATGAAATTTGGTTCTGTGAGGTCTTCGTGGCCGACGAGGGCGTGGCCGACGAGGGCACGGCCGACGAGGGCACGGCCGACGAGGGCACCCGAGTTCCTTGGCTTCAGGACCATATTCTGAATTGGTACCTTTCCGGCCGACGGGGGTCCCTTGGCCGACGAGGGCACCATTCGGTGTCTTGTGCTTTCTGTTCTTCTAAGTATGTGGGTCCTGGGGCTGAGACCCATATACTCCATCATCATCATCATCATCATCATCATGATGATTATTATTATTATTATTATTAATATTATTATTATTATTATTTTTATTATTATTATTATTATTATTATTATTATTATTATTATTATTATTATGCTTATTTCATCGTTCAGTTACTTATATAGTTCTAGTTTTTGCAACAAGCATAGTTAGAACTAATAATGTAAATTGTGGGGATCATTTTGTAATTCTTTAAAAATTATTTATTATAAATATAAGCTCAAGGCACCCACTAGAGCAAGCAATGATTTCCTTAAAATCATATTATTGTATAAGAACTACTTTTTTGTGATTTTTAGAACTGTAGATATATACTTTTGTTATAAAATTGCATAGTGTAATTTTTTCCATGTTTTTATCTAATATTACACTTATATACTACCTAATAGCTCTAGATTTATTTATTGTTTGGAAATATAAGAAAAAGTTAAAAATCTCAATTCAATTTTGAAACTAGGAATACTTATTAATTATATGACACAGATTGTTTTTACTTTTATACCTTTATAGAAGTACTTTAATTCATACCAATAAATACCAGGATCTTTAATAATCATTAAAAAATTATAAAATTGCACTAAAACATTTAAATATTAAGATATATAAATTTTATTCCTATAATTTGCGAGTTATCGATAGGCTAGAGTTCGAACCGACAGAACCGAATATCACTACGCTCGTGCTCGTTAAGCTCGGGTTGTTAAATTAAATTCGAAAATCATGCTTGAAATCGAATACTTCAAAAAAAGCTCGATTTGATAACAACTTTAAACTAAACCTTTTGTGTGCAGTAACAATTTTTTTACTGCTTAGCCCACCCCACTTTGCATTCCTTGATCCGCTCATGTGTGTACACAAAGTGTGTATCTCAAGTCCGATTCAACAAAGTATTACAAAAAAACTCGGATGTAGAGTTGTACCCCACATACCGTTCAACCGATTGTATGATTTAATTTGTGTCTATGAAGAGCTCTCGTGCATGATTTTGGCATGATTTTTCTATTTGTTTTTTTTTTCTCGTGCATGATTTATGCGTGCAGTGTATTTCTAACTTCTAAGGCTTAGAAAAGTACAAAAAATGACAAATCTTTAAAATGTCCTTCTAATAATAGAAAAATAGCTGGACATAAATAATTGATCCAATAAAAATAAAAAGAACCAAAACTCCAACATCTTTGTAGCAAAATGGTAGCAGTCTTCAACAAAGAACTACTGAGTTGGTACCTTATCACCCTCAAACTGAACCAAACACTTGACAATCGTCTCCAAAATGCTCAAACCCCTCCCCCTTCCACAGCTACCCGAGCCATCGAATTTCAAGAACTCCAGAAACAACAACATCAACCAGCTTCATTGCAGGTCGGAATCAAGAAAAAAGATAAATCTTTCAAGACTGAGGAATTCCCCAAATCCCCAGAATCAGAATGGGCAATTAACATCAGAGAGAAACTCGACCAAGCCAAGCAAGAAGACGATTCCGGGTCATGGTCTAAGCTCTCTATTTACAGAGTCCCACTAAGCCTAAGAAAGGACGGCGACGACAAAGCTTACATTCCTCAGATGGTCTCCTTGGGTCCGTACCACCGTGGAAAGAAGCGCCTCAAGAACATGGACCGCCACAAATGGAGAGCTGTTTATCACACCTTAAACCGTACGAATCAGGAAATAAAATTGTATCTTGACGCCATTAGAGCAGTTGAAGAAAAGGCACGCGCTTCGTACGAGGGCTCCATCAACCTCAGCAGCAACGATTTCGTGGAAACAATGGTTCTGGACGGGTGTTTCGTTCTGGAATTGTTCCGGGGCGCGGCGGGCGGGTTTAAAGATCTCGGGTATGGAAGAAACGACCCGGTTTTCGCCATGCGTGGGTCGATGCATTCGATCCAGAGGGATATGATTATGCTGGAGAATCAGATTCCTCTCTTTATTCTCGATACCCTTTACTCCATCCAGTCTGGTGATCTTGATCTGAGAGGAGGGGTTGTGGCTAATTTAGCTGTAAGATTCTTTGACCCGTTGATGCCCTCTGATGAACCGTTGACCAAAAGTGGTATGAACAAGCTTGGGAAGTCATTTGACCCGTTGACCGACTTGGCCGGCCTTCATTGCCTTGACGTGTTCAGGAGAAGTCTTCTGAGAACAGGACCAAAACCAACTCCAAAATTCGGGATCAAGAAATGGTCGAACAACAACCGGGTTGCGGATAAACGAAGGCAGCAACTGATTCATTGCGTCTCCGAGTTGAGAGAAGCAGGAATCAAGTTCAAGAGAAGGAAAACAGACAGATTTTGGGACGTAAAGTTCAAGAACGGGTATTTGAAGATTCCGAGGTTGTTAATCCACGACGGGACGAAGTCACTTTTCCTTAACCTCATCGCCTTCGAGCAGTGCCATCTGGACTCGAGTAATGACATTACGTCGTACGTCATTTTCATGGACAACCTTATAAACTCCCCGGGCGATGTGAGTTACCTGCACTATTTTGGGATAATTGAGCACTGGCTTGGGAGTGATGCAGAAGTCGCAGAGCTTTTCAATCGGCTATGCCAAGAGGTCGTGTTTGACGTGAACGATAGTTATCTTTCGAGGTTGTCTGAGCAGATAAACCGGTACTATGATCATAGGTGGAATGCTTGGAGGGCAGCATTGAAGCACAAGTATTTCAACAACCCATGGGCAATCATATCTTTCTTTGCTGCTGTGGTCTTGTTGGTGTTAACTTTTGTTCAGACTTTTTATGGAGTGTATGGCTACTACAAACCCATTTCTTGATTGTCAAACAGCTTTCTGAAGTCAACCGGGAGTGTTTGATCGATACTGAAATACATAAGAACTAAGAAGTGTTGTGTCACTGTGTCTTGTGAGATGGTCTCACAGTGACACTTGACAAAATGAAGTGTTCTAAAAAAACTAGTACACGATTCTTCTGAAAAGTTACATGCAAATTTTGAGAAGCTCAAGAATTTAAAACGTTGGAGCATGAGTGCTTTTACCTTTCTGGTGTGTAAGGGCATATGGTTACCCCTGTCCTGTTGTTTGAGGGCATTTACTTAGTGTGTTTATGAATTATGAATTATGAGGCATCCAGTTTCGCAGTTTGTACTAGCGTAACGTGAATATATATATATTGCAAAAATACAAGGGCATGCATGCTAATGACTCATAATATCTTATACATACAATCTTATAAACGTTAATAGAAGTAAGGGCATAACAGGTAGCTTAAAAATGTTGGTGTAATTTGTTGCTAAATATGACCAAGATTTGAAGAAGACTATTTTCCTTATCCAATTATTGAATTATTATTCCTACTATACATAATACTATGTACTCCGTATGATGTATTTTTGGGAGACCCCTTAGGGTGTGTTTGGGAGTTTGAGGGTGAGGGAAGGGAAAGGCTTTGAAGGGGAGTAGAGGGAAGGGAAGGGGAGGGAGATGGGAAGGAATTCCCTCCTCTTGTTTGGGAGTTACAAATTGCAAAAGAGGAGGGTTTTGGAGGACATATAATTAAAATGACACATGTACCCCTTCTCATTGTATAAGTAAAACATCATAATGTTTATTTAAATTCACATTTCAATTTCACTTCAGCAAACAAAAAATTATTTTATTCAAAAAAAAATTGTTTAATATTTAAAATAATTGAAGTATAAAATATCTAAAATCTTACTATATACCCATACTTTTGACAAAAAATTAAAGCGAAATGAAAAATGAAAATATAAAAGAAGACAATTAACTTCGACAATTATAGGACAACATTATCTCAGCGTATTATGTTTCACATTTTATTTCAAGTACTTGCAGTTATATTAATCTAGCGCATTCCAATCAATAACATAAAGAAGTCAATGCACTCCAAATAAGCTCGACTTTCACACACACTTGCCTTCACTAATATGGCCTGCAACCAAAAAGAAAAATTCGTTAATATAATATCCGAAACTTGCAAGCAATAATTAAATAAACGAAATACATTTATCATCACTTTTACCATTATTATCAAAATTATAATTTTAATAACTTAACAACAAACAAAAATCTTACACTCTCAATTACCACCTTTGTCAAAGAATGACATCATTACATTCATCACATTATCAAATAAACTATCATTTTTAAAAGTTAACACGAAACAAAAAATCTTACAATCTCAAACATCTTCATCAAAGGAACTGCATATATCAAAATTATTGATAACATAAACTGCCAAAAAAACATCAATATCAATTAATAGTATACTAAAAAAAACTAAAGTCCTTAAAAACATATTAAGATAACCTGGTAGTAGATGCCGGTGGACCAAACACCATTTCAATAAGCAACTCCTTCTGTTTATTCTTCGGGCATCCAATGAGTCCTTTGATCATATCAGGATTGTTGAGAAGGTACAAATATGCTCGGTTGACCAAATGATTTTCAATATGCAAATCCTCCAAAAGCTTCCAAAGCTCAACTTCAGAAATCGGAAGCTTTTGATGAGATTTTTCATAAGCTAACGTGCTCTCACGAAGCGCAGAAGTGCTATCCTTAAAAGCTTCAGCAATCGTCATAAGTGTTGCGGTTACTCCTCCATCTTCAACCTTATCCTTGGATTTCTTTGGCCGCTTGGACTTAGGTTCATCTCGGACTCTGATCTGAGGTGATGTGACATCAACATCATTGACACCTTCTTGTAAACTATCACTAGTCTCAATCGAATCTGCACCAAATGATTTATCATTCCTAATATCCTCACCGGTTTCTGACATCCCTCCGTATGCTCGGTCTTCTCCACATATAATCACCATCTTGTCGTAGTTCGCAATCGGTTTTCTCATCCACTCTTCAGCATCGGGGTGAGCCTATTAAATAAATTTTATTGAAATAAGAGAACTTAGAATTTCATAATAATTTCAATATGTAAAATAAGCTGAAAAATAAAGTTTAGTTAAATTTGAGAACTTTTTGTTGTACCTCTACTAGTGTTTTCCAGACTTCAGGTTCAGCCAACCAACGTTTTGAGATTGGATCCCAAGCAAAGCCACTGAGATTTTTGAAAAAATCATAACACTTTGTAAAATTTCTTTTTAGTAACTTTCATCTCCCCTTCACCTTATCTTTCTTGAAAGGTCTTCCGAACTTATTTTGCAAGTCACTAGTGATTGACATGTAAGCCTTTGTGGTGAATGTCCCGCTCACTCTATTCCCTTCATTGTGTTGATGTAGGAATGAATTAACAAGTTCATTGTCCATTTCTGTTGTCCATATCTCCCTGTCAATCGTGTACTTCTTTATTGTTGTCTTCACACTCTCAGAACTGGTAGTTGCATTATTTTCCATCTCTATAGATCCGTTATATTAGTTCTAAGAAAAAATTTAATAATAACATCTGATTTAAAATAAACTATGCATCAATGACAAGCATTTAACTATCAATCAACAAAATCAAAAAGCAAAAATATATTTCAAGTTTGAAACAACCATAGAACAATTCTCAAGTTCACTCCTAATCAAAAAATAAACATCACGACATGTAATCTGCCCACATAGAATTAGCTATATCATTTCTCAAGTTCTCTCCTAAATGAGTATGTTCTTCAATCTCGTTGTGTTCCACATTACTAGAAATTTGAGCTTCATTTTGATTGGCCATGTCTGCATCAACTTCAGCCATTAACTCTTCATCAGGATCCGATACCATGAGATAGTTGTGCAAAATGCATGATGCTATGATAATCCTATTTTGTGTCTTCACGCCATAGTGTGCTTCTCTTCCAGTCGCAATAATAGGAAATCTCTTCTTCCAAATAGAAAAGCATCTCTCAATGGCATTACGCAAGGATGCATGTCGATGGTTGAATAGTTCTTGAGTTGTTCGAGGTGGATTTCTTGAGGACCATTCCTTCAAGTGATAACGTGTTGATCTAAATGGTGTAATGAGTCCTTTTCTTAGCATAAACCCAGCATCAAGAAGGTAATATTTACCTATTAAAAAGTGTTATTAATAACGTTTATATATGAGCACGTGTATAGTAATAATAAAAAACATTTTAATTACCTTCTGGTATTTTCAAACAGCTTGTTCGGCTTAATGCATCTCTTAAAATCCTTGAATCTGATGCAGTTCCCTCCCACCCGGCCAAAACGTAAGTAAATTGCAAGTCAAAAGAGCACGCAGCCAACACATTTTGTGTTGGGAATTCTTTCCTACCTCGGTATCTAGGAGCATCAGCTGATGGAACTCTTACACAGACATGGGTACAATCGATTGCCCTGACACAATCCTAAAAGTGTGAATTTATTGTATTAATTATTTTATCGGAAAATTATGTTTCTAAATAAAAAATTAAAATAATTTATACCTCAAAATAAGGATAAAATCGACTGCTCCCTAGAATTGTTGAAGGTATCAGTGAGCCATCCGGTTGTTTGAGATACTTTCCCTCTAGAGCAATAATTGATTTAAGCACACGATGAAAATGGCGACTTATAGTTTCACCGGAACGTTGAAACCAAAACTGAACCACTTGACTTTTCATACCGTGTGTTAGGATATGGAGGGTTTTTGCCACTTGTTCCTCTACACACGCACGTTGTGTTGGCAAAAGACCACCTTCACTCTGTAGCATGGCACATAGGTCCATAAAAGCTTTTGGACCCATTCTAATTATTTTACGACCCTCATTAGTATCAAGTTTTTTCATTGTTTTAGTTCGTTCTTTCTCTCTCTATGATTAGAGCATGACTTGGTATTCTATTTCGAGCACTTTTGGTTATGAAATGATAAACTACAATGCATACAACATAAATTGTAGCCATTTGCAGTCTTTGTAACTTTCTATGCAAATCCAATATGCGTGCATCATCCATCTATAGGAAGTAGAATTCTAATAATATGTTAGTAAAAATTGAAAGAGGGAAAATAGACTTTTGTACTACAGAAAAAGTGCATCCTAAGCTTGCTACTTCTAGATTTCTTCCAACAATTCTGCACCAACATATTTCTAGTAAAAAACAAACACTTAACAATGCTAGCTAGGGACTGTTTTTTTCATTAAAAATTCTGATTGGTATTTTGTTTGTTCATCTCAAAATCTAACGAAGTAATGTCTTTAGACTCGCTTAGGCCATGAGAGTAAAATCTTAGGTTCAAATAATATGAAGCGTTTTTAAAGAGAATCCTACACACAATGGAATCAGCTAAAGTAGTAAACACTAAACACAAACACCAATAGTAATCCACCACAAAATGATATAAATGGGTAAATAGATTCACACTCTGAGTTATCCACCACAAAATGATATAAAAAAGAGTAGTTGTATTATCTGGCCACAAGCAAAGTGAGCAGTAAACAATACAGTAATAAGGAAACATGACATATATCTTGGAATAAGCTAAAAGATTGCTTCAAAAATGGAAATACACATAATGTTATTATAAAAATGAGCATATGAAATCTGGAATACAGAAACTTTAATTTGCAACAACAAAAAATCTAATTTCATTTAAAATAAGAACAATCCACTAAACAGAAATAAGTAAAAATGCATGATAGTTTATAGGGGGGCTTTACTCGAAGTGGGCTGAAAACTAACGGTCTGGTAAGTTTATTTTGAAATATATACTTCGTATACTGTGTAGATTATTACCAGATGAAACTAAAAAAGAACCAACTCTACACTTAGTCACTATCTAGTTGGTTGATAGAGTTTAGGTTCTGCACTCTGTATTTAAAATGCCCTTTGCTGCTGAGGAATTTGCCTCCAACGCAGTTTCAAGAATTAAACTCAGGTAATATGAAATGAAATATGAATGAGCTGCAGTAGCGAATGATAGCAAGCTTCTGTTATGTGGTTTCTCTGAATTTGAATATCGTAAATTAACTTCTAAAGGTAGTAAATGTAGCCTCCAATTAGTGTATCTGATACAAAAGGAGTTTAGCTTGGTTCATGTATTTTGACTTTTAATATACAATATCTTTTATTGAATTTCTGTTTTAAATGCAGTAGTTGTAATCAATCAAGAAATTTAGCAATTTTTAGAATCAAGAAATTTAGTGTTAGAGGAAAAGTTAAAAAAATTACCTTCTAATCTCTTCATTACTCAAAACAACTCCACTTAAAACTCAAGAAAAGTTATATTTAGAGATTTGTGCTTCATTTTATTTTCCATTTAGCACACACTGATAGCCAGCTCACTCATATTTCATTTTCAATTTTCCATTACTAAAAACTACTCCATTTTAAATATAATGGAGGCAAATTCCTCAACAGCAAAGGGCATTTTAAATCAGTGTATACAATAACGATGATAGCCAGCTCACTCATACATATACAATAGCGACTAATTCTATCACCACCATTTTGGAAAAGAAATCTATGAGATAGTGGAAATTAGTTTATTAAATAAGCCTGTAATTAATGATGGGTTAATAAATGCTTGCTCAATCGATGTATAGAAGACTCAAACCGTATCTAAACTCGTTGAAATCTGGAGTTTCAAACTAAAAAATATCAAAAATCTCAAATCTAAAAACCCAACAGTGATTCCATGCAAACAAATAACAAATTAAAGCAAAAAACATGCGAAGAAGCACATGACTAGCTAAATACCAAATATAAAATCCATATCTCACACAAAATCCAAAGAAAAATTGAATCAATCTGAGAATGCGAAATACAATCAAATACGATTGAGAGACCGAGAGGCCAGATGTTGAGCGGAGATAGAGTGAAGCAGATAACAACAAAATACGAAAAATGCTTGGAAAACAGAACATACCTGAGAATTTTAGGCGAAATAGTGAAGTATGGCGTCGATAGCAGAGGATCCACTTCAAGCCGCAATGATTCCAAGCGAAGAATTTCGAGCAGAGAAAAAGATAGGGTTCCTAGCGGGATACAGTAGTCATTTGTGGAGCAGAGAGTCGTTCGTAGAGCTGGGTTCGTAGAGCAGAATTGTAGTTTGTGGAGCTAGGGTACGTTTAATCCTTCTAAACCTCCTGATTCGGGGGAATTAGAAAAGTGGATGTTTGAGGGTTTTACGAGGATTTTAAAAAAACCCCAAAGACTTTCCTTCCATTTTAAAAAACTCCCAAACACAAAATGGGGGGTGATTAACCCTCACACCCCTTCCCCTCCCCTCCAAAACCAAACTCCCAATCACACCCTTAGGCATGTGAGACCCTAGACTGGATCCCGGCCAAACTGGCTCCAAAACCTCAATGATTAGCCTAATGGGGAAAAGGGATCCAATGTACGCAATCTTAGTACCATACATCCGTACTAAAGCACAAATAAGTTGTTTCCAGATAACTTAGAGCATCCGTAATGGTAATATGAATTGATAGACAATACATTGCCACGTGAGCAAAATAGTCCGGTTAAAATTTACTCTCCAATGGAAGTGTCTACATTTTAAATGGCGCTGAGTTGGACGAAATAACCGTCCAAATTGTCCACTCTTCTTTCTGATTGTAGAAGGCGTGATAGAAATGATGAGTCGGCAACAAAAGATTTTTTTCAGTCCAACAAAAAATTTGACGGAAATGTGAAAATTTCCGGCAAAACTCAACTTATTTAATTTCACGGAATAAAGCTCCAAGAGCACATTTGGAGTTTTGCATCTTTCGAATTAAAATTCAATTCGGTTATCTTCTTGGCATCTTCTTCAAAGTGGTAGCAATCAAGGAATCATCTCCATTAAACTTCAATTCCACACAACCAGAGAGCACACCCGTGTAGAAGGAATTAAACTCACGATCTCGCAACCTCTGGAATCTGGTCGCAGCCCATTGTCCACCGGCACCGACTCTGAAAATAGGATGTGAGTCCTCGCTATCGCCACCAAGCTTGGTCCAGCCCGCGGTCCACCGGCACCGAATGTGAGGCGTCGTCATCGCCAGTCGGGTGGATCTGGCCCAGATTTCCTTGTGTTCGCTAGAGTTCCCGTTGAATACAATTTTTCACATACTCCGTATACAAGAAGTAAGGAGTATATTCTTATAGATGTAACCCCGATTTTGTTGTTGCTTTGGAGAAGAAAGAGAAACAACGATAGTGCAGAGCAAACAAAATGTTTTTATTTAAGTCCAATGGTTCATTTCCACTAACGGATAATTATGTTACCTTTTACTATTCTTTCACAATAGCTTTCTAATGGCATGTAATGTGCCAGCAATGACCCTAACATCAATCTACCATACACGTTAAAGGTGTTGATATTATATTGGTAAATGGTCCACTCCCTTATACACGATTAACATTT